ATTATTAATTCAGGTATTATCTACGCGACTACCAAGCGGAGCGCAGTTTTTTCAAATCCCAACTGAAACCATACATTTTAGAAAAATATTGGAAAAATAGAGATTTCAATTTATTTAGAAAGAGTTTAGTTTGAGTTATCCAAGTGTGAATACTTTCTTGGAGATCAGCTTATAGACGAAGTCAATTATGCATTCTTCTTTTATAATAGATTATTAGTCTTTGGTACGGATAGGCTATCACTACAAACTTGATCGAGGAATACGATAATATGTATGTATATCTTAATGAAACCACAGCAATACAAAGCTAAAGTATATAACTCTTAACCAGCCGAATCTAAGCCCCTTCTTATTTATTTTTAGTAAACTATGCTGTAATAAAATAATTTATTTCTTATAAATTTCTCTATTTACAGTATGAATACCAGTATGAGGTTAAGGATCCCGAAAAAGAATTATTCTTTAACAAAAACGAAGCAGGTGATGCTGCTGGAAAGGTAAGCAACAACAACAGATGAACATATTGAAATATAAATAGAAAATTGAATGCTAAAACTTCACAGGTGTCTGGTCAATACTCTGTGTTGCTGCCTGATGGCCGCCTTATGATGGTTGTTTACACAGTGGAGGGGGAGAATGGCTTTGTGCCTAAAGTGTCGTTCGATACAACAAACCCACTGGGTTAGAAGGCGGCTGAAGCAAGCTATAAATACACGCAAAAACACGAAAAAGACATATCAAGAAGTAAAATCTAATCTAATGGAAAAAGTTAAAAGGAATGGTGATGGTATACTCGTAAATACAACAGCAATGGAATCAATTAGAATTTTTTTAAGGAGAAAGCGAAAAATAAATAAATATTTAGTTAATTATTAGCTAAGTGGTAAAGTGCAAAAATAGTGAAATATTGCATAACTAAGAAAGCAACAACACACACAAACATACATGCATACACATACGTATATACACATGTATGTTCAGAGCGACATACGCAAACAGACATAGGTACGCAAAGGCATAAATATATGTATGGCTTAACACGTATGGAGGACTTAAGCATTAATATTGGATTAAAAGGCTTGTGTGCAGCAACAACAATAACAAGAAAACAACATCGTCGTCGCCATTAAAATTAAATTAACTTTTGAATGCGAACATTGTAAATAAAATTTTATAAATACATATGTACATACATATGTTTTTTCGCACTTATAAACGTGCACCATATGTATTCACCTACATTTCTCAATCTATCAACTTCCACACTTTAGATACATGATGTCTTCAACTATATTTTATAACTTAGTTACATATATATATAAACTTATATATGTTAAATATTATATTATGATTTTGGTATTGTTAATTTTATATAATACTACACATACATATATATTTGTATTAAATGTACATCATCTTCTTCGCTTTACGCGCGGAAAGCGTTCACTATGTACCTTTTGACAATACAAATTGAAAAAAAAAACAATAATTGCAAACATGCAAATCGATATTTGTTACAGTTACACATAAGAATGAATGGAAAATGGCTCAATTATAAAGTAATAAAGGATTTCAACTTAAAAGAGACCACTAAACTTGTGACTTTATATTCTTACAAACAAGTTTGACGGATTAAGGTTAAATAGAAGACCATAAGAAGAACCAAACCGTATTCGGTATTTTTGATCAACATACATATAACTTGTGTCACATTACAGAGCTGACCTGAATATGTAAAAATAAATTCAGTTCGCTTTTTAACATAAATATAAAAACAGTTTTAAACTCATTTAGTACTTAGAAAAAATTTTCAGAATTATTCACTCTACATATATAAATGAATATATATAACATATAATGTAATAATAATCTCAACTCACCACATTCCTCATATGTGTCAGAATCACAGCGACACCTTTTGTATCGTATTGTGGTCGTCCAGCGCGTCCAATCATTTGTAGCAAAGTACTCTCTGGATATTCCATCATATTACCAAGGTGATAATACTAATGATTTACAATTGTTTACAAATTAGTTTGGATGTTTGTAAGCGAAAACCATTTAGAAAATCACCTCAGTTGACTTGATGACCACAAGGCGTGCTGGCAAATTGACACCCATTGCCAAAGTGTTGGTGCAGAGCAAAACCATTAAGTTACCCTGACGGAAGCTCTCCTCAACTTTGTTACGATCACTAAAACTCATGCCGGCATGGTGGTATGCGATGCCATGTGCAATCAATTTGTGCAGTTTATTGTCGTGCAAACTAAAAGCAGAAAAGACAGAAAACAAATGAAAAGTGTAAAGAAAAAAAAATAGTAACACTACAGGTGTTTGTTTATGTACACTGGTAGACACACACACACATTGTGGCTATTAGACACTGTACTCGAAAAAAATCTTTTTTTTACTAAAAAAGAAAAAAACGTCAACTTCTGCTGAACCGAAGCTATGATACCCTGCAAAAGTGCACTTCTCTAACATAAAAGGGAATAAAAATATTTTTTATTTTGATTTTGATCGGTCGGTTTGTATGGCTGTTATATGCTATAATGGTCCGATTTGACGAATTTGTTTGCAGATAGTACCTTTAACTTGGACAATAATCCATGCCAAATAAAAAAGAACTTGAGTGTTATCGGTCAGTTTGTGTGGGAACTATTTGCTATAGTGGTCCGATATTCGCGTTCTGACAAATAAACAGCTTCTTGGAGAGAAAGGACGTGTACAAAATTTCAGATCGATATCTCGAAAATTTAGGGGCTAGTTCACGTATATGCAGACGGGCATGGCTAAATCGACTCACCTCGTTACGCTGATCATTTATATGCAATACTTGATAGGATGTCCGACGATTCTTTCGGTTCTACAAACTTCGTGGCAAACTTAATATACCGTGTTCAATAAACACTGTTCATGTTATAATAAACTGACTTTGGCTTTTTTAAAATGTCTTTAACTAAGTTGTAAAGTGATAGTAAATACTTACTCTTGTGCAAGTTGTGTAAGATTTGTCTTTTGTTGGTCACTGAGTGCGAAATGTGATGTAATATTTTTTTCTAAAACAGTTGCCGCCATTTCAGCAGATTTTCTACTATTGCAAAAAATCTGAAATAGTACAAGTAATAAATATTTTATATATAAATTTTAAAACCAGTGAGGAAGTTCTAAGTTCGGGTGTAACCGAACATTTTGTACTCTCGCAACTTGCAAGGGAAATTACGTCAGGTGTTGGCAAAATTGTATATTAAATGAGTATTAATCCGCTTCAACCCATTTTTGACACAAAAATATACTATTATCGAGAGTTTCATTTATTTAATTTATTATATGAATCTTAATTATATATCTTGCACATTGACTGATATGATAGTCAACTATAAGCATTGGAGTCGATTTAGACAATTTTTGGTCATAAGGTGGCATACTTTAAACGCATTATTCACACAAAGTTTTGCCCCGATGCAATCATGGTTGCTTGATTTGCATAGTGGAAAGTGAGATAATCAGATGGAATTTAAAATGGTCTATAACATATAAATATGAGGAGAATGCTATGTACCGAATTTGGTTGAAATCGGCTAAGCAGATCCCAAGATATGGGTTTTCATCTAAAAGTAGGCGGTGCCACGCCCACTGTCTTATTTTGAACGCGCTTCCTATAAAGTCACCTCATACCATCCCAGAGATCAAATTTAATGTCTCTGGCGTGTTTAGTGCTTGATTTATCGCGCTTTTAGTAGTTTTTAGCAGCACCGTTATAAGGGGAGTGGGCGGGCTTGACACCCGATTTCATCCATTTTTACACTGTCGATAGAGGTGCTAAGGACATTTGTTCTCAGAGAAGTTTGTTATTATATCTTTAGCGGTTTAGGAGATATACACATTAACCCTATTAGTGGGCGAGACAACGGCAGTTTTTTAAAAAAATTTAAACTGCAGATGCCCCTCCCTAATGTGATCCTGTATACCAAATAACAGTCTTGTATCTTATTGTGTAGCTTAGTTATGGTAATTTATTTGTTTTTGAATAATGATGTTTTGTGGGCGTGGCAGTGGTCCAATTATCCCCATCTGTAATACCAACTAAGAAACATGTGAAGAAATATGTGTACCAAGTTTCATAAAGATATCTCAATTTTTACTCAAGTTACAGCTTGCACAGACGGACGGACAGATAGTCACCCGGATTTCAACTCGTCTCTTAATCCTGATCATTTATATATACATAACCCTACATCTAACTCGATAAGTTTTAGGTGATACAAACAACCGTTAGGTGAATAAAACTATTATACTCTGTAGCAACATGTTGCAAGAGTATAAAAATAGTTGAGTTGGTAACTGAAAATATATGTATATAGGAAAATATACAATAATTCTAAGAAAATCGACTAACATAAAATTACTATTCAATAAATAACAAAGAAAAATATTCCAGTTTACAATAAAATAGTGAAATTTTAATTTGCAAAACTGCACTGGTGGTCGTCTCTTACAAAAATATAAATATGAAGAGCAAACGAATATTAATTCACCTACCAAAGTAGCTTTACAATCGGAATATTTGCGCAATATGTCCATTAACTTATAATTGAGACTCATGTCAAATTTAAAACCACGTAAACTCCAGTTGAAGCCCAACACATGTTTCTCCAATGACACAGGGCGATCTGCATCTGAGTAACTAGATCGAGAGTATTATATGCATAAATATATTTAAAAATATAATATTTTAGAAAGTAAAAATCAAATTCCTTACACCAACTCCGCGACATTTTCATGTTTAATATTGTTGAAGCTGTTGTTACTGTTACTGTTGTCAACAATACCTGTAATCCAACATGTTATGTCATGTACATTTGGTATAGTAGCTGAAGCAACAACAAAACGCAACGGTTTATTCAAAGCATCACGTGCAATAGTATGCATACGTGAAACTATAGCCTCTAGCACTGGGCCACGCACATCTTCGTTTAACAAATGCACTTCGTCTATGAGAAAAATCCGTATAGAGCCGATAACATCACGACAATCACGCCAATGACGTGTTAACGAATCCCATTTCTCTGGTGTAGTGATAATCACTTGAGCACTGCGTAAACGTGCCAGTTCATCCAAATCACTATCGCCCGTTATCAGTGCGCACTCTATGCCTAGCTTTTCGAAACGAGACTTCCAATCATCAAATCGTTCAGCGCAAAGTGCCTTAATTGGTGCCACATACACCGCTTTGTGTGGTGTTACTCTGGTGGAATGCTCCTGAGCGCTTTTGGTGTCATTTGGATGATCTATTAACATACGCACGATGGCCAGCTCAAAGGCTACTGTCTTGCCAGAACCAGTGGGTGCACTAAGTACCACCGATCTGTTGGTGTGTAGCAACACATTTAAAAGGGACGATTGTACTGCGTTGAAACTTCGATAATGGTCGAATATTCGATCAAATGGTGGTGCTGTGTGAAAAGAAGAAAGAAATATTAAGTAAACCGTGCTTCAATGAAAATGTAAGCTATTTTTATTGAAAAGGATACGAATATCTGCAGAATTTTTAATTTCCATTCTTAGTAATTAGCAGCACACAAAAAAATGAGCGGAAACGTCAAAAAAGTAGCGGTAAACTAAGCGCGGAAATTTAAGGACAAATTTGGCAGCACTGTTAACGAATTTCTTCGCATAGGGAAGTGGGCTGAAGCAGAATGTTAATGAATAGAGATGGCGCAAATGTTAACTGTACTCAAATGTAAATTAATATGAGGGAACATCGAAAACGCGCAAATTCGAAAATAAAATTTCACCACCCTATCAGGAAACGCAACGAACTACACCACTCTATAAGGGAACCAAAAAAGGAGGTGTTAGGATTTGAACTTAAGAAAAATATTTTATGCTGCAATAAGGAATTGTGCCATACTAGCAGCAGAGAATGTTAATGATTATTCATTATATAAATACATACATATGTGTGTATGTCGGTTCTTATTGCTATTTGTATATATGTCCAAAGTGAGTAAACATAATTAAACAATCACAATTCAGCAACAATTAATAAATTTATTATAAATTTTCAAGTACTACATATGCATAGGTTGCAATTATTAATCCTATAAGGAAATAGATGTAAATAATGCATTTATATTTGAAATCCGTAACTTACACCGGACAAACATAAAAAATCAATTACTTAAACAGTTGAACGTTTGGGTTTTAATTACAAATAAAAAAAGTTGTAATAAATTTGAGGATTATTAACTATTTTGTACTGCACTGGAGCACCGATACTGGGCAACAGAATTCCGTCTTTTTGCTTTGGTGCGTACTTGTCGGGTAAAATTATTAATACAAAAATGTTTAAATAAACTAACGTATTTAAGGTAATATATAGTAATATAGTAATAAACTTGTAAATTAGTATGTTGAGCGAGACGACTCCAATTGAGCTAATAAAGTAAAGCTAAACATTCAGCCTTCTCCTGCAGATTGTACTTAAGGTGTGCGAGGCTGCTCCAACCTCGTATGCTCTACTCTGGGTAATGGTGCTTCGGCACTCGATTTGGACGCATTGCTGTTGTCATCATCGTCCAGTATATTGCCAGCATTTCCTCTATGTTCTTCACCGCCTATGACACCACCGTCACTTTCAATTTCACGCTCAGCCTCATTTTCATTTAACATCTCCGTCAATACTTCGACCAAATTACGCGCCTCCTCCAACATTTGACGAGATGTATCCAATTCTGCCTCTAATCCCTCAATGCGTTCATGCAAATGTTGATTTTCTTTGAGCGTCTCCTCTAAAGCTTCACGCCGTTTCTCTGCTAAATGTTCCCAATAGAGTTCACCGGGCTTCTCTTCGCTAGTAAGATCCTCAGCTGTTATTGTTTTTTTTTCTCCAACGCTGGCATTTTTTTGTGGGCTAGTTTGAGTTTCAGAAGCACGCGTCTCAACCTTCTTGCGTTTTGGAAAATCTGTGGAAGCCAAAGAGGCCTCAGTAGAGCTGTAAATTTAATGAAATACGTAAAAAATATATTTAATTAATTAATATCTACAATTAAACACATTATAATAACACTACATATAATAAATTACCATGAATTGGAATTTGTAGAAAAAACACGCAACTTACGCTTTGAGGCGGCTCAGTTTGTCAATTTGTGGGCGCCCAGCCAAGTTTTCTTTGTCAATGGCGATGCCACCTGGCTGGAGCACCTTAAAGGTCTTGCGTTGATTCTTTAAATTCTCCTATTCAACATCAAAAACAAGTAGATGAAGTGTAATGCAGTTAGCGATGTTTATATACAGATATATATGTCCCATGCCATAAAAACAAAATGCACCAAACAAATATAAATTAGAAAAAATACGTATTAGTATAAATCAAAAAATGTGTTGGAAGGTGATATGACTGTGATATGAAAACGAAACATTAGAAAATTCAGTAATGCGTTAGTAGGCCCTTCAATTAATCGGCGTGGCTTCGCTTTTATGTATATTTTAAGTATTAAGAAGTTACTTACCTGTTGTTCCGCTGCGGATTCAATTTGAATGAAGATCTTTTTCGTGGAGACATGAGACATTTTATTGATTTGTAATTAATACAGTTTAAACAAATTTATTTGAACGCGCGTAAAAGACGCCGTTGTGCTGCTTTAAAATTATACTATTTTTAAAATATGGTGGTTGAACAAAATTCCTTTACTGCTCTTCTATTATAAATGTCAAATTAAAGCGCCAAATAAATAGACAACAGAAGTTAGTTGCACTTCTGCATATGGTTGCACTATAAAGTCTACAAAAAAATTGCAGATTTAAGGACTGGAAAGAATTATTCATTCATATTATTAACAACATTCAATTTGAAAACTTTTTTTAATGAAGAATATTGTTAAAACACATTGTAAAAATTACTCTTAAAAAATTGGTTTGACCTCGCTTTTTTAATTGCTGCGTTAATTTTAATTTAACTTTTAAATATATAAACCAATATTGAAATTTGTCTCGACTCGTACTAACTATGTTCCTGATATTGTATATAATTTTGTTATATTAATATATCCATTTCAAAGCCGTTATTCGACCTATTGCCGGCGCATGAGTTCTTTTTGTTAAACTCCAAATGCAACCTTGTTAGCTCATTTCAAAATGGCTATTGTGTGTGTAAGTAAAAACCGTCGTTAAACGAGAACGAAACGTTCTGTGCAAATTAAAATTGTAAATATTACAAACCAAATTAAATGTAGCTAATTAGTAATTTGTGCAATCAAAAGCGTTTTAGCTCTTTCTCAAGGTCATCAAGTTTGGAAAAGGTTATACTCACGTCAATTTACTAATTCGGAGACTATTTAACGCATGCAATAGAAGCAACTAGCTGAGGGTGTGTATGTCCGTCCGTGGGACTTAGCTGGCGCAGCAGCAGATCGCTGCTTGTGACAGCTGCTGTCAGCGCGTGTCGTCAGTCGTCGCTGCTCACGTTTGTTAATGTGTTATTCTCTGCCATGCAATTAGATTTTTAGACGCTGAATTTCAAAAAGTCAACTGTGAGAAAATAAGTTTAGTTGTAAATTGTTGTTGCATGCAGGTGGAGTTTTTTTGAGTTTGAGTTGTAGTTAAATTCGATTTATTTTAATGGAACCGTTAGGAAACTTAAATTCGAATACAAATAATAATTTTATAAAGACTAATAATACACAAACTGGTGGAGGTGAAATAGAAGCCCCTACACAAACACAAAGAGGACTTTGTGAGCACGACGCAATACATCCACGACTTCTAAAAAAGCATCAAAACGAGGTAGCGAAATGTTTGAGCTGTGAACAAGTAATTGAATCAACTTCTTTGCATGAAATTTTTGAACATTACGCAAACGTTGCGCATAATAATTGCATAGGGAAGTGTTACTACTGCGGCGGTAAAGTTCATCAATATCAATATTTTAAGGATATTCACACATATCACAGTTGTACCCGTTCGATTGGGCATATAGACAAATAATAATTTTAAGGATCGAAATATGGATTCGGACAATGTTGATACCTATTTTATCGCCGAACGTTTGGAAAGTGGCAGTGGTGACTCGGGCGAATCAGAATGCTCTGACAATGGTGCTGGCAACGATGATGACTCTAGCAGTTTAAGTTCGCGCACCACTGGTGGTAATGGTTATGGGAAACGTTGGTCGCGAGCTGAGGATAATCTTTTAAAAGGCCTTGTGGGACAATATGGCGATCAGTGGGAATTGATTGCGCCACAATTTAAAGATCGTACCGAACAGCAAGTACAACAGCGTTGGGCTAAAGTATTAAATCCAGAATTAATCAAGGGTCCTTGGACCAAAGAAGAGGATGAAAAAGTTGTTGAATTAGTACGACGGTTTGGTCCAAAAAAATGGACACTAATTTCGCGATACTTAAATGGCCGTATTGGTAAACAATGCCGTGAACGTTGGCATAACCACCTCAATCCTAATATTAAGAAAACTGCTTGGACGGAAGAAGAGGATCGAATAATTTTCAATGCACATATGGAATGGGGCAATCAATGGGCGAAAATAGCTAAGCTACTACCGGGACGTACAGATAATGCCATAAAGAACCACTGGAATTCGACTATGAGACGTAAATACGATCCACATCGCTTAAGAGTTCTAGCACGCCAGTGTCCTGATTTACAAGATTCTCGCTCAAATCTAAAAGCGCTGATAAAAGCGAGTGTCAGTGTATCTACACAACCGCAAGTACAACCACAAGCACCTGCTCCCACGCTTTCCTTGTCGGCACAAATATTACAGCGCCCTCAAATGCGACAGCAAAACGAACAGAGTCACGAGCAGCCGACTACATCGGCCGTGGCGGCAATGCAATTATCAGCGCAGCAACAAACTGCTAAGCCACCACCTACACGACCGCCACCAAATATATTGAAACGCGCGCGTCCACAAACAGAACAACAACAACAATTCTTAGAGATGTCCACAACAAATACAATTTCAACAGTTGGCTTCGATAATATGGGTGTAATTTCCAGTCAATGGGTAAAAGCGGAAACGAAATTACCAGAGTCACCGGTTATGACACCCATAAAACCCTTACCATTTTCACCATCACAATTTCTCAATTCACCATGTCTACCATCGTTTGAAGACATAAGTTTACGTGCCAGCACGCCTGTACACAAAGGCAGTGGACGACCCGGAGTAGAAATTAAAAAGGAGTTGGAAAGTTCATCAATTGAAACGCCACACAAAAGTGAGTGTTAATTAAAATATTTTAAAAGTAAACAATTCAACAAAATTCATGCATGTTTAACAGGTATTTTAGGTCCACGTACGCCAACACCTTTCAAGGATGCTCTAGCTGCGCTAGGAAAGAAGCGACGTTACATTCCACCAAGTCCTTCGTCCTTAGTTGAGGATTTGGCCGAAATCATACATGACGAACAAGTGAATGACTCAAATAATATGATTATTAAAAAGGAAAATATCTCATCCGATGCGGACTTGACTAACGACGTATCTAGAAGTACCGTTGGCGGTGGTGGTTCCACAACACAACCAACAAAGAAAGCACGTAAATCATTGATCACCAGCTGGGGTGAAAATGTTATGCCCAGTATGGGTGTCAAACATGAAAAGAAGCCATTACCTTATGAAACTGAGACTCCGAGTAAATTTCTTACATCGAACGAATCAATTGCTTTCTCACCCACAACTATAATTATGAAAGACACCTTATGCAGTGAGGCTGACCTATTACTTGAAACCAATGAAGAAGCCAAAAAAGAGAATAGTCCACAACAACGTCAACGACAACAACAACAACAGAATCAAAATATATTGTCTATATTGCCGCCGCGTGAACGCAATGGACAACAATATTTGGATCCCAAATGGGAGAGATTAGCATGTGGTCAAACCAAGGATCAACAATTTATGGTGCAACAAGCGCATGCGTGCTTAAAGAATCTGTCGCTAATGCCGCGCTCGCTAAATTTTGAGAAACAAAAATGACGTGAACACAGAGAAAACTCTTCGAGGCAATTTACTAAACATAATTGTTGATTAAATAGGCTAAGTAAATACCGTATATACATGCACATACATGTATACTCATGCATATTTGATACGAGAACATACATATATTTCTGAGATTTGCGTATTCTTTCTCTTAATTATTGTTTCTATGCTACGATTGTTATCGTGTTAATTATTTTTTTTGTACAATTTACATACATACATAAAGTACACGCATATAAGGTTTGCGGCTGGCGAAATGCTTATGCATATATACATACATTTTTATTTATAACCAAATGGTATATATATACTCTATAGTAAAAAGAATTTGCAGCCGTTGCACTGCGAAAGCAAATATAAATTAAGTCCAAAGAAGTTTGAAAAAGTTATCAGTACTCTATGCATGTCTTAAAAAATGGTGTTTGCATGTATTTGTACATATATGCGCCAACCTGTTACACAGCATGTATCTATGTGTAAGTTATAAATACAAATTGGCTAGTAAGGAAAATAACAAACCGTTATTTAAGTTTGTAAATTATGAAACATTTTTTATTTTATATATAAAATTATAAAAAAAAAGTTATAAATTAGCTATAAAAACCCGGTGCACTCCTATCATGTAGTCCAAGAACTTAAATTATTAACAATACATAAACGAATATTGTACCTACTCAAAACGAGAACACAAAGCGTATATAAACTTTTTTTTATCAAATAAATACAAGACTTAAGGAGAAAAATTCCCAATGTGTAATGTTTCTGGAACCTGGAAAATGGAATTTTGCACAATGTAATTATTCCAGCATGGTATGTGTGTGTGTCCGTACTATACAAGTAGCAAAGAAATATCAGAACAAACTTTGAATCGATAGGCATTTTTTATTTCGAATGCTTGTATAAGCGAAGAACATACATAAATACATACCTAAAATCTAATTTTCGCTAGAAAGTATACCGTACTAAAAATTAATTAAATTTTTTATCAACCGTTATAGTTGCGCTTTCTCGGCCTAAAGCCAAAGTCCAATACAAAATCCACAATGGGAAATAAATCGCAGCAATCGCCGTGTACAGCCAATTGCCATAAATCTGAAAAAAATTAAATACAAATCATACACACAATATTCACATGAGCTATTATAATATTTTCACTTACAATACTGTCCATCAAACCATAGGTAATGGCATCCAAAGAAGCGCTAATAGCGCGCATAGCCATTTCTCTTAATGCTAATTCCGGGAATTCAAATAGGGTTAACCATAATACCAGTAAATATATGACAATCATAGGATTGAGCAAAAATGTGTAAATACGCGTTAATTTCTGACGCAAGTCATTGCTGGGTTCGTTTTGGAGTAATATTGTTACCGGTGAGATGATCACCGCCAATATGAAACCCAAAGCGAAATTCAAAAGTCCAGTGACGATCAGCGCTACTCCCGTGAATATTAGCACACCAATATGTAGCAATTGAAGACCGTCCTCTGGTAGTGTGTAGAATAGTGGCAATAAAATGCCAAGTAGTACTTGCACAGCTAAAATGAGACCAACACTCCATTGGGTACTAACGCCCATAGAGTTGAAGTAATGTCGAACGTGTTGGCTGTATGGTAAGGTGTTGCAGAAGAAGCCTAACAGTAGCGCTGCGACCATGTAAAGCAGCACCGAAATGTAAGGTAGATGTATTGGCAGTTTTTCTTCATGTATCGTTGTGTCCTCTTCCTCTGACGTTGCGTCATCCGTGGTTGTGGTGGTTAGCCAAAGCAGAAAAGCCTTAATGAACATAGGGCTAGCTAATGCAATAAGACAGGGCATATAATCGCCAATAGAAACGAAGCGGTCGTTCTGTACTAATATATAGAAGAAGTAACTCTGATGAAAACGTTCCAGTAGGTTGTTTAAACTACGCGAAATGCCCTCAACGGTTTTCAAAAGTGAGAGTGCGGTGCCATAACGATTGTTGTTATTGGTGTTGGTTGTGCGTTTCACAGCTTCAAGTGTCAGCGATTCTATGCGGTAACGATGAAATAGGCCGTGATTGCCATTGGGTACACCAGTCGCTTGGCTTTTTAACATTTCCATCATGTGACGTAAATTATCTTCCAATGAGCCACGGTTGGAACGACGCTTCTTACGTGGGGTATGCTTGTACCCGGATGAAAGCCCGCTGCGCGACGTTAGACGTTGCACTAAGTTGAACATATCCAAATTAGGCAACTGACCATTCAAACCCTCGATTTTCACGTCAATGTAATCTAATTAGCGAAATAAGGTTTAATATTTGCGAATTCAACACAAATTCATCTGTCACATATATCTTACCAATGTCGAGGTCTTGTACTTCTAAATTAAGTGCGGCTTGTAGCGCACCGGCGCGTGCTGGCAGATTTCCACAGCGCAAAATTGGTGAGTCTTTTATGCCGCCTTCATGATATGCCTCCAGCCAGGCATGCATGCCCAGTTGCTCTTGTTCGGTTACTAGAAATACCAAATCTTTTGCCCAGTAATTTTTTTCTAAAGAAAATAAAGTTTATTAATTCAACAAAATTGTATAGCTTTATTCAATTGAAACTCACTGCGCGCAAAATCTGCAAATGCTAGTAACATTGGGACACTAGCCGTTATATCCGTGTGCACAGAGTTAACAGTCCGATATGGTGCCGTATATACTACACCCTCGGTGGAACTAATACGTGGTGCACGCAATATTCCATACACGTTTTTGCCATGGTATTCCTTGCCTGGGCTAAAAGGATAGCGAAGTGTGAAATTGTGCACATGAGTTTCAAGTCCAATTTGATGCATCTTTGCTGCGATCCAAGCATGTGGTGTTGTGGATTTATGATCGGTACGCTCACGTTGTAGCTCTTCATATAAAGTTTGCGCGAGGCGTACAGAGTCTTGTCCGATTTCCGGATCAACCAATCCTAATAAGGAAGATTTTTTTTAATGCATTTAAAATTTTATTTCTATACATTACCTGGTGATAGCGCATTTTCTGATAAATAAGTACCATGGCTGAATTCAGGGTGTGACAGGCAAACGAACCAAGCCAAGCCGACTACATAGAAAAACAAAGAAATTTTTCCACTATGTTTAGCTAACGTACGCCCAAATTTGCCCCGCGGCGTTAATGAGGGATCCGATAGGAGACCCATTATTATTTATAAACTGTTTTATTTAATTTTCAATACTTAAATAGCCGGAACAAATGAAAAATATATGTATAGAAAGCAGCTGGTTTTGTTTTCGTGTGTCGCGTTGCCAACTATACAAATATATAAATGCCTAACTGCGCTGCCAATTTCATTAAAATTGAATGATATGCTACGTTAAAAGAAGCCACACACGACACACTTGCCTTTTCGATCGGTATGAAATATTTTCGCCATACACGATATACAGCCGCAAAACCATGTACCATATACAAGTATGTAGTACGACTTATCTAATGAGAGCGGAAAGAAAATAAAAACTCACCACTGCTTCTACCGTCCGAAACGTGGATATCCGCGAGAATAGGATATTTCCCGTAGAAATTTGTGATTACTGATTACTCTCTTACAACGCAGGATTGCCAGTCTCGATATTTTATAGTAATTAAAAAATAAACTTGAATACATTTGAAATATTCCTAAACTAACTCGAAATTGCAGTCGAATCCATTTATTTATAAATAGGTATACTATTCTTAATAATTTGATTTCAGTATTGATGTTTTACATTATGAAAAATTATAACTGAAAATCTAGGTGTGTGTAAAACCGTCTAAAATAAATTGAGCAATGGCAAGAGAACAACTGATTTCTACGTTATCACTGCGAAAAGACGGCACGTCGGTCACTAACTGAAACATTCGTCCTACAAAGTGTAAACATGTGCCAGGATCAAGCGCACAATTGAAATGTACTTTTTATATCTGGCATAATTTTATTATGATAGTATTTTGATGTATTTGACTTTATTTAGACAATAAATAATATAAAAATTTTAATTATTTTTTTTTTTTTACTTTAATTTTGTCATTTTTTGTTTTCCAAATGAGCAATTGTGAGCAATACTTGTGTGCACACCGATCGTTAAAAATTTTAAATTCCGCTTATGTAGGAAAATCTCCCTTGCACACATACCGATCGAACGCACATGTATGTCGTGTACTGCCACCTTAAGCGTAATTCCTATTATTTTTAGTAACAATTGAGTGTAGGAAAATATTTTAATGTAAAAAAACTAAATATGTTTTTATATAATTCATATAAATATATTTTATTCGATTTGTACTAAAGTAGGATATTTAAGCAATTTTCTTAAATTTAGCGGTTCCAGTTGGATTTCTTTTAGGTGGTACCCAACGAAGATAAGCTGGATCCACGGTCAATTTAGGTTTCTTAAATTGCGGCAACTGCAAATGTTCCATAACTGTTTTCGGTGTTACGCAGATAACATGTTGACCTTTCCAATATTTAACCATTTTCATTGATTGCAGTGTATAAATGATATCTTCCTGTGTTATACCACTTAATTCACTCAGCTCTTTAATACTTTGGGTTGTTGTGCGGCATTCTTTCATAAACTCTAGCAATGTATACGCCCAATAACTGCGGTAGCTTAAGCGTCCCAGATCGGAAAGTGGCTTTTCCGGGCTGCCAACAACACCTTCTCGCCGTGACAACTCATAGCTAAAGGCTATTAATAATTTTCCATATCCTTTTCGTTGATACGGTGGTAGGATCAATATACAAGCAACATTATTTTCGGGCGATTCTTTCTCCTTAGAAAAATATCCAACTATATGTGCTCCACGCTTATCAATTTCACAAAGAACGTAAAAGTAAAATGGTTCCACATCATAGTATAAGGTTTTATGATCCAAAAATAACTTCGCCATTAAACAGAGTATTTGACAGTAAAGTTTATGCTCTTTACCATCAATTTCAAATATAGATATTGTCCCCTTACGATATATTTCGTTTCCTGGTGGTTGCCGCTGTGTACATTCGGATGCGTGATAGCGGTAGGTCTTTTGAAAGCGCATATATTTCAGACAATACTCACAAACATATAATGTACCCACTTTGCCATATTCCTCGGGGTAGGGGCTGAAATACCAAGTATCTATTTCAAAACGTCCAATACGTAGCTTATCGATATATTTGACCTTTGTAATTGCTTCGTGTTCTTTCTCTAACGCTGCTGTTGTTGGATCCATTTCTGCATACGTTTTTTGAACATGATTAATTTCATCATGTCGTCTCTTTTGATTGCGTGTCAATTTACGATCACTATTTTCCATCGGTAAAGGATTTTCTAAGTTTGCAATTTGCTCCTTACTTAACTGTTTGATTGTTTTGCCACCAGTACCATCGCCAGGATCTGCAGAATTTGCGACTTCACTTGCTGTTTCAGCATCAGTTGCATCTGTTATACGATCACGGGAAACCCATTCGTCCAGTCGTCGGTTTAGTCCAACATAGTGTACATAGTATTCAGCAGGTGTGCTGGCAGAATTCCCCGTGGCTGGTTCCCCAGGACGAGACTGAATAATTTGCGCTGGATATACATTACCATCAGCGCGTTTGATAAGATATACATCACCGGTATTAATTTGCATATCGTTTTGATTAGTTGTTGCTGTTGCAGTTGTTGTTGAAGGCCCTAACTCAGCATTTGTTTTGGTTGTAACATTTTCTGTGGCCGGCGTTTTTCCAGTAGATTCTGAAGTTGTGCTATTTGCATCTATTTCTTTTTTATCGGTTGGATTAACCTTTTGTTCTTCTTGTGGAGCAGTTTTGTCACTGTTGTTTATCTTATCACTTTCAGTTACCGTCATTGTTTGCACATTTAAATCTTATTAGCAAATATTTATTTTACGCATCCAATCAACTAGGAAAATGTTTTCAATATCTTCTTCATACTATTGCATGCACAATAGCAAGAACGACACGTTTATTGTGAATTGTGTTTATTTCAGGGACAGCGTTGCCGTTTTAATCCGATCGGACGAAAATTGGTAGTTTCATCAGAGAATGTAAAATATAGAGAAGGTCCAACCAGAGAATGTAAAATATAAGAAGAAGAATATATGATATACGTTCTCTGGTTTGAGTTCACAGATTAGACAAATTTGCTCGAATATTGTCTATGGTGTTTCTTGTATAGAAGACTTGTTTATTGCAACGTGAAATATTTTGCCTAAGTTCAAATCCTATCATATTTTTATATACTATTTTTTATTTTTATAACCCTTTTTTATTAAATGATATTTTAATTCTATTTTCATTTTATTTCCCTCATTCCTTATATTTTTTTTTCATAAGTCAATTATTTTCCTTTTTATTATTTTAAGTTTTGTTTATGCGCATATCAAAGAACATCTGTGCATATGTATGTATATACATTTTGCTTATAGAGTGGTGTAGTTCGTTGCGTAAATTGACAGGTGTGGTGACATTTTATTTTCGAACTTGCGCGTTTTCGATGTTCTTTCATCGTAATTAACATTTTAGTACAGCTAACATTTGCTCCTTCTCTATTCATTTACATTCTCTGCTTAAAGCGATTTAAATATCTAGGCAACATCTGTTAACTAAGGAAAAGCTTTAAAGAAAATATACTTATTTATGTGCAAAATACCCACCAAATGCATATTTATCCAGTTTCTGAATATTATTATAAAAATTGGTTGTTAGATTTGGCACTTTATTCGCATTTCCGACATTTTAATGAAACTAAATGTTTGATTCACATACATATGTTCTAATGTTAAGAAATCTAACTGAAATAAACTTTTTATCAAATAAAATACATGTTTAATTCGATTTATTAGTATTGAAATAAAATGTTAATTAAACTAATTAAGTAAAATTTTAAACTTATTTGGAAGAACTTTTAATAAATATTAGAGTTGAATAAAAATCGATAAGGTTTTCATTAATAACTTATACAACTAATCTGCAGGTATTGTTAATTATAATTATATAAAACCAATGATTATTTCAAATATTTATATACATATATTATATATGTAGTTCATAATATGTTTGTGTAAGTTCATTCATATAGGGAGAAAATTAAAAATTGTAATAACTAAAACTAAGCTTAACTGCAATCATGCATTTTACGCTAATTTAATTTCATTATTTATAAAAACTCAGCTTGAAATTAAAGATTATAACGGTACTAAATATACTTAAATGTGTTATGTATATTATCTAATTTGATAACTAATTTTACTTAGTAATTAGCTTAAATTGTTTTTCCAGTTGTGATTAAATTTCAATTAAATTATTAAATATTGATTTCTAGTTATTTGTCTTCTTTTTATTTTTTTACTTATTACTAAAGCTATTACCAAACTCTGTATACGCCATAAATGTGGCGTACACCTACAAACAAATCATGGCTACATTCCTTCCATACAAATTATAAAAAAAAATTAATAAATAAAAAAGGAATATTAACATTAATTTCATTGTACAAAGTTACGGCTTTGAAGAATTGAGTGGAAAATATTAAACTTAAAGTTTAAATAAAAAATTCTCTATTGTGAATTCAAAAAATACAAAATTATGAAAATATAAGAAATAACTTTTAAAACAATAATAACTAGCACTTGAGCTTTACTGTAAGTTCATTATTCAGTTTCATGTACATATAAGTGTCTTAATGTTATGCTACATATGGAAGAAAGCAAAACTAAAGTCTAATGGCCTTGCAAAAAAGTTTTTTAATGGGAAAAAGTAAAGTGTATAACATTGAATAGCAAATGTTTTTCAAATTGCAGTCTCCGGAAGTCAAACTCACGACATAAATTTCTTCAATTAACTTAAATATTTTATGTCACATGCAACTCTGGCAACAGCAGGAAATATTGAAAAAAATCTTCTATTACAGGTATTAGCGAAGGAATGCAGCTTTTATAATGTTTAAAAATACGATGCATATAGTGCTTCATTACTCGTTTTGTGCTCTTAATTGCTATTGCTTGCTGTAAGAGTTGGTGCTAGAGTACTACCTTTGATAGTGCAAGATAAATACATACATATGTATTATTAATAGGCTTCCAATTTTTATTTGCAACCCGTCAAATGAAAGTTAAGCCTCTCCTAAGCGATTTTTCCATCTATATAGTGCGCTGCTTCGAATAACCATTTAATGGTTAAGGGCTATTATATACACATTCATAAGCATTTTTCAGTTAAATAATCTTTAATTTTTCACACAATCATTTTTCCATTTCGTTACGCACAGAAATTATGGTGGCACCCGGTGTTCGACGTCTTGGTTCGTCCTTATAGAGTATACGCCTATTGGCTGTCGCACTCTCCATTGTAGTCTTATTAGTATAAGCATTTACCACATAACCATCATTGCTTGAGCTGTCTCTACGCACAATACTTGCCGTATCCTTATTGATTTCAATCGGCGAACGCGTCTCCAGTGATGTGGAGTGGCGCAACTGATGGTACTTACTTGGCGCACTGTGAGCGGTGTAACTCTCATCGCCATGCAATGTCTTGTAGAGATCGGGCGCTTGCTGGTGCAGACCGCGCATGAATATTTGCTTTTTTTCCAGCATATCACTTTGCTCACTTTCTAAACTGTCAATTTTAGTTAAATCCTTCTGACTTCGGCTTATCAGATTCACAATTGAGGGACTTTTCAGTCCACTCTGTAGTGAGTTCTCCTTCGAGGGACCGCTATAAAGATGTGGATTCGATTTGTAGGCTTGGCTGGCATATAAATTGCTGGTGTTGTGACCATTGTTTGCGTTGTTCATGTAATTATTCTTTGTCAGCTTTTCAATGTAAATCGGACTGGGGTCGTGACCGCCGTTCATGGCATGCACGTTGAAGCTTTTGCTGCGATTCAGCGCTTTGGCGTAGGTACGCGCAGGTTTCGCCGGACCAACTGTTGTTTGCTGCTGTTGTTGTTGCTGCTGCTGGTATTGTGTGCGATGTTCAGGATGCCCCAAAGTGCTGTAGCCACTAGTTACTAGATGTTGCCCAGTTCGCTGATATGTGGACGATTGTGTCGCATGCAACGGTTGATGGTGATGTTGCTGTGGTTGTTGCTGATGGTCCTGCAGTTTGCGTGGCAATGTTTGGGTCGTGCGATAGTCCTGATTTAAGTTAGGCGTAGAGGCGGCAAAATTTTGACTTGTGCGTTGATATCGTCCCAATGTGCTGGTCGTCACATTTCTGGAAGAGAACGGTTAGCGGGGAATTAAGAAACGTAGCAATGATATATGCAAGTACTTACCTCTGTTTGTAAAGATCTCCTTCATCGCGACGGTTCGCATTCACTGTTTCACGGTTATTTCGTTCCTGCTTACCCGCATAGCCAGCATCCACAATATCTCTGGGCGCTAATGTCTTGCGCTTGCCGACAGAACCGGATACATACATATTTTCCTTGCCATACAAAGTGCTCGAGTACGGATCTTCACCCAAGTAGTAACGTTGTCTTGGACTCGGTCCGCGTTCGCCAATTTCACTCCGCTCATTGGCGTATGGATCCGCCGAATTGGCACGTTTGAATTGTGTTTTGTGTATTTGACCGTTGCGCTCTAGAGTTGCCGCATGTATGTAGTTCTTATGCGCCTGTGTCGTCTCCTGCGGCATACTCTCCAACTCAGACTCACCGGAGACACCACCCTGACCGCCGATATGGCTGTCTATGAGATTATACTGCTGGTAGGTAGTTTGTTGGCCAACCTTGTCGACAGTTTGTGGTGATGGCGATTGCTCACGTGACTTACTACGCGACTTCATGCGCATTTTGCGCTCAGCACTGGCCGATCGTATCTTATTGACCAGCTTACGTAGCGAATTACCTATCACCTGACCCATTTTGCTGGATTTGTGCGAGGTGACGGTAGAGTTGGAAATGGTTGAGGCTGTCGTTTGTGTGGTTTGTGTCGCCATCACAGGACGCATGTATGACTGCGAGTGCGCATGTTCGTGTTGTGTGGTCGGTGCAAATCGTGTGCGTTGATTTTGCTTTCGTGTCAACGTGCTGGTGCTCTGACCGACCAATTGGCTAGGTGGTCCATAACTGTTGGGTACATGGTCAGCGATATTATTGCGATAGTTGCGCTGATTTCGTACACCATTCACATATTCCACTTGCGGCGATGAGGAGCGACTACGTGGCGGTGGCGAATAGTCTGGCGGTGGTTCCAGCAAATTTCGTTGGCTATGCGCGTGCTGGCGCTCCAATGGCACTTTTTGTGGCGGCGGCGGTGAGGCGCTGTGTTGCTGTCGTAGTTTCTTTTCGATGGCGCGACGACGTTGTGGCACTGTGGGGCGACCGAGCGTGTTAGTTTGAAAGGTTTCTCGTTCGGGCGAAATAGCACGTGATTCAGACAGAGGTAATGGCTTCAGCGAGTTCGTATTATGCAACTCATAGCCAACGCCACGTGAAGTATCCTCCAAAGTGTGTTCGTAACTGCGACTACGTATTTCATTGTATTCATACTTTTTGGCGGCACTTGGTGCAAAGTCAGCTGGTGAACGCGGAATTTCTAAATCACGTTTCTGATTTTGTTGTTTGGCTGGCATGAAAGCGCGTTTGTTGTTGTCCAACTCACCGCCATTTAATCCACTGTAACGAAGATCACCGCGCGAACCGCTTTTGTGGCGCACACCCATATCTCGGCTCGTCTTTTTAATACCAACACCCACGTTTGACGCTTCCAAATCATCGAGTCGATCAAGTGAATTACGATTACTTTTCGCCAAAAACTGCGAAGATAAACTCTGGCGTTGTTTCTGATGCAGAATATCCTCACGACTAACGTAGTTGTCTGTAGACTCGACTACGTAATGACTGTCTTGCTGCTTGTCGCGTCGCAGCCGATTGCGCTCAACGGTTTCTTGAAGATCATCACGAAAGGCTTTCGAAGCGAAATGATTCACTGGCGGCTCCTTACGTTCGGTCCAATTTGAGATGCCCTGGTAGTACTTTGAACGTCCACCCGGTCCATTCGGTCCATGTGTCTCGATCACATGATCTTTCGATTGTTTGCGTTCATATGTATTGCTCGCTGACAACCGATGACCATTGGTCAGTGGCGTAGGTGTTGGTGTTTGATTTGATTTTATGGTAACATTGAAGAATGTCTTTTTAGTCGGCTCTATATCGCCGGCACCGTCATCTTCACGCGAGTCATTAGAAGCAGTTGATTCGCTGCCGAAATGTGATTCCAACCATTTGATCGTTTCTCCCTTGCGTGTTTCCTCCTCACGATCGAAATCCAATGGTCGCTTGGTTAGCGCATCTTTACGATCAGCCAGTAGTGTGGCTTCTTCAAAGAAACAAATATTCGTATATAGTTTAAGGCGAAAGCAAATATTTATTAGATGTAGCAAAGTTATAAAAAATGATAAATCAGCATATCGGTACACTAAATACTGTCATATGAAGCATTTGGCATTAACCACAAATGATCTTACCCTTATGTGGCTGCAAAGCACTCTTCTGGTGTGGTCGACGTAGCTTTCGCATACGATCCGATAAGCTATCCCAATCACCGGGTCGTTCCAATGAGCCATCCTTTTCAATTTGCATTGTCTCGGCGGCGTATTTCATTTCGGTATTAACAACTTTGCCATCAACAATCTTATCGACGTATTGCTCGTCACGTTGTTTGTAGAGATGTTGTGTAGCTTCCTGAAATGTTTAGAAGGAAACCATTTTAGTATGTTCCAGACAGATGAAAAAATCATACTTAAATCTATATAATTGTGACTATGAAAGCTGCCGGCTTTTCTATGTACCATATATACTTATTTGAGGAAATGGTACCGGAACAGTTTTTCGACCTTTAAATAAACGCGGAGCCCTAGGATACAATATATGTATGTAGATGCCCTAGTTACTTTGAAAATTTACGTTATGTCCTACATCAATTTAGGTTTTATTGTATCAGGCTTTTAGCAGATGCAGACCACATAACTTAAAAATTTCTTAACTTAATAGAGAGCTTAGCGGTTTCAGACGCAAGATTTCAGAAATACAAATTCAACAGAGCTGAGGCTAATAGGTAGATAAACATAAAATAGTCGTTACGGTTGCTAGCTTCCCTCTATTTTCGAAAAAATAGTTGTCATTTAAAGTGGTTGGGACTTAGGCTGTTCGAGTAGTTCCTTAGGATAACTAAAGTGATGATGTGGTATATACAACTTTGATAGTAGTGAAATTATATTTAACTTCTTAGGGACTTTCTATTTTTGCATATTCATTTTTAATCTTTCTTTTACAATTTCTGAACCCGTTTTTGGAATTGAATATTTCGAATTAAAACTGATTAAATTTATTTCGATAGTTTTTAACGGTTTCTAATAAACTTATCAGCTTCAAGTGATGAATTGATCCGCCTACCGCCTGTACAACGGATTATTTGTGCAAAAGTCGTTATAAAGCTCAAGGAATGTGAATACATATATAAAATCAGTTAAAGAGTCTTATGTACGGCTCAGTCTAAAAACTGGACTTCATAATCTTTCTAACTCCAAGACCAGTTATTTGGCTATATAACTATTCAAGCTTTAATAAATATACAATATGAACATTATTATCAAACTTAGGACTTGCAAAAATTGATGATACCACTTCATATTTTGACTCTCATGTACCGATTGTGACGACCTCCCTCCTTCCGAATAACATAATACCGTAATAACTGACAACACATGTATAAGTGACGTTGCTTTCGTACACCTTACGATCCTACAGGCATTTGTGGTAAAGACAGTTTGAAAAAATGGGCGTGGCCCGCCATCTAATAGGTTTAATGTACATATCTCCTAAACGACTAAAGCTATAATAACCAAATTAGCTTAGGACAGTGCCTATAAGGACTCCTACCGACAGTGTGAAAACGGGTTACAAAACCGACCTCTCCCATACGTTATATTTTGTTAAAAATTACTAATTCCTTCAGAGACATAAGATTTTACACCCGTGACCTGTGGTACAAGAGGGCTAGGAGTTGGTGTCAAATTTTGACGATGGGTGTGGCATCGTCATCATTTAGGTGAAAATCCATATCTCGGGACATACTTGACCGATTTCTACCAAAATGGTACGTAATATTATCTTGACAGTCTTAATTAAAGTGTGAAATCAGACAAAAACCATATAACAAAATTTAAAATCCAACTGATTCTTTCATCGGTGGATCTAGATAAAACTTTGCACAAATAGTGACCTCAAGGTATTTCATCTTATACTCAAAATCAGACCATAACTTTTCAAGAATTCAGACGCCAAATATGCGAACCCCAGTGAATATGGCTGACTTTTAGCCGAAAATATCGATCAATCTGTGAGATGTATAATTGAAATTCAGAGGAAATATTGGGTTGGCAACTAAGTAATTGCAGACAATTTTTTCATGGAACTAAATAACTTTATTCTGTAATGTATTGCCCATTTTGATCAATGACCTTTTGCCATCTTTCAGGCAGCATCATAATCCCACGTTCATAAAACTTCTGGTTTTTATTAGCAAAAAACTGAATCAGGTACGGTTTGACATCATTGTCATTATTAAAATTTTTACCATTCAAGGAGTTTTGTACAGATCGAAACAAAAAGTAGTCCGGTGGTGCAAGGTCAGGACTATATGGTGGATGTTGCAAAACATCCCAACCAAGCTCCAATAATTTTTGCCGAGTGACCAAAGATGTGTGTGGCCTTGCATTGTCATGATGGAATACAACACCTTTTCGATTTATCAAGTCGGGCCGCTTTTCTTCACCTGCATTCTTTAATTTCGTTAGTTGTTCAATGTAGACAACAGAATTGATCGTTAGGTTGGGTGGTAAGAGTTCAAAGTAGACAATTCCTTTATAATCCCACCAAACTGATAACAAAACCTTTTTTTGATGAATACCAGCTTTTGATGTTGTTTGAGCTGGTTCACCTGGCCTGCTCTACGATTTTTTCCGCTCGATATTGTTGTAAACAACCCATTTTTCATCGCCAGTTATCATTCGTTTTAAAAATGGATAATTTTCATTACGTGTCTTTAGCAAATCGCAGCTGTTAATGCGTTGTGTTAAATTCGTTTCTTTTAGTTACTGAGGAACCCATGTATCGAGTTTTTGAACATAGCCAAGTTGTTTTAAGTGATTTTCAATGCATGTGTGTGATACCTGAAGCTTCTCTGCAATCTCACGTTTTGTACTGTGACGATCCGAATCGATTATTGCTTTGATTAGGTCGTCATCAACTTCAACTGGACGACCAGAGCGTTTTTCATCTTTGAGTGAAAAATCACCAGAACGAAATTTGGCAAACCAATTTTGACACTGCCATTCTTTTATGGCTTCGTCTCCATTAATAGCAGATAACTTTTTGTGAGCTTGCGATGCCTTTTTTCCCTTTGCGAAAATAAAAAAGCAAAATATGACGAAAATGTTCCTTTTGATCTTTCATTTTTAAACGGACGTCAAACGAAAACTACGCAACCGATCAAAAAACTTTTTTTTACTGATTGACATCTGGTTTGCCAACTATCAAATAACAAAATGTGTTTTAAATTTGGACCACGCCAGCAAAACTAAAAATCCAACTGAATCCATCTATAAGTGAAATCCGCAATAACTTAGTTGCCAACCCAATATTTCTTTGATAATAATATTATATATCCTTGTGCCAAAAATGGGTTGAATTGGGTCAATGCTTTCCTTAGCCTCCATATGTATATAATAAAAATTTTCGAACTTCCAGTTGACTTTATTCCACATATATCGGCCAATATGCTAGTTATTTTGATGAAATTGAGAGAGCATGATTTCTAATACAGTAAAAAAATACTAAAATGTATAAAAACGGGCAAAAACTTGACTAAGCCCCCGTATAACTGATATTTACAATTTTGAAAAGTCCGTTTGACTTAACTCCATATTTATGTTTATATTTAGATATTTATAACATTGCATGAAAATAAGTTCTCAAGTACACCTGAGCAATGTCAAAAATTAATGCAATCAGCACTTCCATTTCTATGCCCCCAATAATTTTTGCTGATGGGAAGTATAATATAGTAATGAAAGTAAGTGAGTTTATGACCTTCAAATAAGTTAATATGATACTAAATATGATTGTAATCCGTTCACCATGTCGTCGAACAATGAAGTTGAACCCTTTGGATAAATTTTTTAATATTACCAACACCTGAAGGTGTTTAGACGCAAGTTTCAAGAGTACACAATGTTTGGTTACACCTAAACTTAGCCCTTCCTTACTTGTTTTCCATTACATTACGTCGCAAACGGTTACCGCCCTATAACCACTAAGTAGTTTCTTCGAAATTTACACCTAACTTCGCATATATACTCGTAGATGAGTACATAGAGTATGTATGTTTGTACTTACCACAGTTTCGATTTTCTCACGACTACCGGTCGAATGATCGTCCTCTTCAGGCAATTCACGGTCTACGATAACTTCGTGTTCGGTTGTCTTCTTGCTCTCCGTAACGAGCTTTCCGTCCGCTTGGAGCAGGCAACGCTTCTCTACGTCCTCCGAATCAATTGTCTTAAACGACTTGGTGGTATTGGCGATAATGCGTGGACCTAATGGCACAAGTTGTTTATGATTTTCCGCTGCGCGTAAAACTTCTTGTAGATTCTCGACGCCGCTATTGACTGCCTTCACATAGGTCTAAGTGGTAAGAAGAATAAGTAACAATTAAAAAATTGTTTAAAAATAAATAAGTAAGCGTTTCATCTTTTCAATAATTCATGTCAAAGGAAGGGCAGAACGAAATAAAGAAAAAATAAAAAATACAAGAATAGAATTGCAGTCGGCGCATTTGAAATATTACATCATCATAATGATGATCAGAACATCATTATCGCTATTGGTGTCGTTATCGACACCAACATCAACGCCAACGTCGTCGGTATCAACACCAATGAAGACAACAACAACAGCAACCATAATAAACAAGCAGCAAGAAGTTTATCAGCATTTGCGGCAACAAGTGCAGTTGTGCAGAGTTTTTTGTCACCAACTACGAGCTATTGTTATACACGTTTGTTGTTGTTGTATGCGTGAGGAGACATCAGACACGCTGAATGCTAGCGGAGTATTTAGAGCAAAACCAAAACCTGCATATTCGTTTGTTGCTTGTTTTGCTTTGAAATATCCGCTGCAACCTATACAACAATAACAACAATAGCGGCAATAACATTAAAGTCATAGGTAGTAGTTACAACAAATAAAAAAAACATTAACCGCAACTACTGGGAGGAGTGTAAAGAGCACATTAGTAAGACAATTCACTTTTGCTTAATAGTCTTAAGTTTTTAAGCTTTTACTTTTGCCACTTCAGCTAAATGTCTTCAGTTTGCTACCGTTCGGCTGCGCACTGGCGGTCCGAAAGGAGGGATCGGGCTTTGACTGGCTCTCTTCCGGTAAAGATACCATGATTTTAACGGTGTTAACGGTTAATGTTGTAAAAGCTAATCCACGGATTTTATATAGATTCTTCGAATTCGGGCAGGTATAGGTAAACCGACTTTCGAGCATTTAGCGTCACGGATCTAAAGATTATGTCAAAATCCAAATATATTTTCCAGTTAGATGAACTTAAACATAACTTGCATAAACTGGCCATGGATGTGGGTTCAAGGTTGAACTTTAGATCGGATTTTGAATTGGGGATGTTATCGATTCGCTTCTGAATGGACAGACTTTGGTAAGTACATCGACGATATTGTTCTCGCCATTTTAGCAACGAGGTACCAGTCATTAGCTTTAAGATAAGGTCATTTCGGTGTAAACGACAACGGTATTGGGAACAAGAGCGTGGTGCTAGAGGACGATAATGGTCAGGTTAAGTTCAAAGAACAGCTGAGAACACTGGTCGGTTGTGATACCTAAATACTCCTAAGTATTAATCGAAATAACTTTAAAAACGACAAAGCACTTTGAGCCTGTTACAAATTTATTGAGGCGACTTATATTGATTTTAGCTATTTCACCAGATGCGCTGAAGTTATGACGTCCGACAATGTTCAATAAGAACTCCTTTAATTGCAGCAAGACAAACCGTGTTGAGTGCAAATAATTTAGTGGATTTCCTGTGTTCTACTCTAGGGCAGAAGGATCTCGCAGTAGCACAGGAGTTAGTGGTTAACCAGCATATACTAAGCTCACGAAAAGTCCAGAGATCCAGCGCTAGAACGCAAGACGACAACGGAAACCAAGATATAGTCGGGACAAGGTTGCCCTCTCCCTATCTCATAAATACAACTCTTGTCAAGAGAAATATTTGGATTTTTTTGCAGATAAATATTTTAAATAATCTAAACATAGTGAAGTCAATGCTATAAAACCGTCACAAAATCAGGCTAACGTCTCATTGCGATACTAACGGGACTAAAGTCCCCTCACTCTATTGTCTCCTCTCTGAACTACCCCTTGCTTCTTAGTTCGAGTGTTTGTCGATTAAATATCTGCAAGCTATAACGGATCACCTTTTTTTCACAAAACTGGCCAAATAACGATTTAATAAAAAGACTCTCACTCTCGGAAGTGCTTTGCTAAATTTCGTACAGGATAAATTACCACTAAAGACTACTTAGCCCAAAGGGGGCTGTTAAGAAGGAAAACATAAAAAAGCTTTGAAATTACTTCGGATGATTATAACCTTATGTTAATCGAGATAACTGACACCCGACATACAGATATCAAGTGAGAGTGCCACGTGAGATCTAATTAGAGACAAGGCAGTTGGTATCAAAATTGCTTTACTTGTGCTTTGATCTGGATTCATCGATATGGCATAAATTATTGTCTGAGACGATGCTACAAACTCTGAACAAATTTTTGAGAACGGACCACCATTATATATAATATATACCTATAATATAGCTGCCATACAAACTAACCGATCAAAATCAAGATATAGATCTTTTTATGCCCTTTTATGCTATAAGAAATGCATCTGTGAAGGTGATTCAAAGTTAATGTCTTTTTCTTGTTTTTTCTTAATCTACGTCAAAAGACACAATTGGTAGAAATGGGCGAAATTAAATTTTCATGCACGTGCAACTTTATACTACCAACAGACCACCAAACACATGTAGAAATGTACTAATGTATAGAAATACCAAAATTCCCGTACGAACAGGTAGGAGGAGCAAGCTATGAAATAACAATTTCTGCTTTATGTAGCTTTATGGAAGGCAAACAAATTTTTTGGCGTGCCTTCTTTATCTGATTGAAAAGCGTTTAATCTTCGTACAGTCAATGAACTTCTAGAGCTAAGAACTTCTTGTTCTAAGGTAGAATACCATAATTGTCTACGCTCTATTTATTAGCGAGTGCTACGAGTACATGCATAGTTATTTATGTAAATACAGAAATGCCCCTTTGATTTGAAGCGTGTTTAATGAATTTACTGTGGAATTAATTGCGATACAAATACACATACGTACATGTGAGTACATATGTACACAAGTGTTTGTTTGAAAATGACTATAAATGGGCGGCACTGTTGCTTAATAGTAAATATCTTGAAGATTCATAATTTCGATAGCATGTGGCCGGCATGATTCAAACGAAAAATATGCGTCAAAATAGAAAGCAATTAAATATTTACATGTACATATGTTTGCCTGCAGGTATTTCATCTAAGTCGATTTGGTGTAGGTACACACAAATTGACCAAAAAAAATTTCGGCAAGTCCTGTGATAAATTGTATAAGTTTCTGCAAATCATTTGCCAGCCGAACACTTTTTCTAGGCGTTTGAAAAAGAAAAATATTGTTTAAAATGCCCAAAAACTCAGAAACATAAACTGATAAAAATCAGCTCTTGCTCTACATACTTGTATCAGCCTGTTATAATGATACTATCCTGAATCCATAAGATAAATTTCATTGTGAGTTTGTAAAAGGAAAAAAGGACTTCGGATAAGTGTTTGTTGTACAATAATTCAAGTTTTTTTTAGAGTTACCTTCTAGATATTCAACATTTTACTTAAGTGTATAATATGTCACTTTTCCTTTAATCTGATACTCAGTTTTCTAGTGTATGAATACCTGGAAACAAAAATATCTACACTTCGCATTCAGGCTTTTTACGAGAAATGAAGAAAATAAACTTCTTGTTCTTTTAATCTTTTTAGACATTGCAGATCGATGAAAAAAGAAATTAAACTGTGTAATCAAAAAAGTAATACTTAAATCATAATCAATAATTAATTTTAAACTAATTTTTCAATATATGATAATCAATAAAAATAATCGGTCTGTAAACCATTTTAGCTATTTTTCTACAAAATTTACCCCAAGATACCTTGTATTCATTTTCTATCAATGTACCCGATTTTTTTGATATTATGATTTAAGCTAAAAGTATTTTGATTGGTTTAACTTTTTGCATCGTCTACTATTGCTATGAAAGCAATAACCGTTTTATTGAATGACCGATTTTAAGAGTTTTTATGAAGTTTGGAAATCTACCTTTTGTTTGAATCTCAAAGGTAAAATCGACCTAGTAGTTTTTATAAAATAATAATTTTTTTACTGACCTAACTTTTACAAATTAGATTTATACCGTGCACAGGGAATATTTAGTTTGCCACGAGGTTTGTAACAATCAAAAGGAAACGCCTGAGACCCTTCAAACTATATTGTATATATATATAATTGATCAGTGTAATGAGCTGAGTCGATTTAGCCACGTCCGTCTGTATATATGCGAACTATTTCCTCAGTTTTTGAGATATAGAGATAAATTTTGTACCTGTCCTTTTCTCACTATGAAGCTGCTTATTTGTCGGAATGGCCGATATCGGACTTCTATAGCATATGGTTGCCATATGGAAAGTTTTTTATTTGACAAGATGTTTTCAAGAAATTTGGCATGGTTTATTACCTAATAATGCAATCTCCGAAGAAATTGTTTAGGTCGGATTGCTATAGCATATAGCTGACATAATATTTGAACGATCGGAAGTTAGAGCTTGTATGGAAAACTTTTTCATTTGGGGAGATATTTCCACGAAATTTTGCATGGGGTATTGTCCAAGGTGCAATCTTCAAAGACCGATCGAATTCCTTGTAAGGAATCTTTTGTATTTGTGAAAGGTATTGTAGCTTCGGTGCAACCGAAGTTAATGTTATAATATGTATAATTGTTATCCGAAAAGAAATTCAAGCGACAAAATCTAAGAAACCACCAAACAGGTAGATGGCAAAGAGAAACGTCAATGAAACAACAACAACAGCTCCGTAGTCATACGAGCAATGCAAAAAGTTGGCCTGCGATATTGCTATTGATGGACATACTCGTTTGTAGGTATGCATGTAGAAAGTGAGCTTGTATTTTGCTAATTTAATTTAATATTTTATTACTCATTTTTTTCATTAACGCACTTTGCTTATTGACATTGTTCAGCACACTGGTTCAATGGCAAGAGTGCAACGTAAATAAATTCACAAATTAAACCAACAATTATTACGTCAAATAAACACGAGATGGTGACGCCGCATGCTCCATTAGATGCTGCCTCACATAAGCTCGAGCGCAAACACAGGCGTACAACTGTTATTATGGGCGTGTGAAAGACAAGTATTGTTAACATAAATACAACAACATCACTCAAACAATGGTTGTATAGCATGGGTACATAACAACAACAGCAAAAG